GGGGAGGGGGGGTTGAAGGAGAGAGAGACACACATTAAAGAGCAAGATTCTGAGAGAGGAAAACCTCCCAACTGTCTGTTATTTGACTCAGGGCTGCCCCAAACCTTTCCTCTTGCTGCTCAGTGCGTCCTCATTGTGGGTACTGTGGCCTGCCCATGTGTTTGCAGCAGGAATAAAGGAGAAAGCACCCATCTGCCCCTGGATCTGTCCTTTTCTAGCCATGGACCATCCGTTTCCTCACCTGTAAAACTGGCATCATAGACCAACCCACCCCAAAGGCTTGCTGTGAAGGTGCAGGGCAATCTGGACTATGTGTGTGCTTGCAGAATACAGAGAGCTGTGTGAGAATGCAGGACCATTTCCCAATCCATGCTGTTCACCTATTCAGTGTGCCTTGAGCACCTGATGCATTTGTTTAGCTTTAGCAGTATGTAAGCTATGATCCAGGCCCCCAAGAAGCTCAAGGTTAAGTACAGTGAGCAACCCAGTGCACAGATCCCAGCAAAGGCAAATGTTATGAGCTGCTGCAGGAATTGGGAGGAGAATCATATCTCCAATGCTGGCGAAATTTCAGGAGAGCTTCACTGAGGCGGAGCCATTTTTACTGGCCCTGAAGGCTGCAGAGAATGTGGGTGTTCGTTGATGGGAGGAAACATTGCTATAGGACAGGGAAGCGTATCAACAAAAAGGCCTGAAAGCCAGAAAATGTAGAGTGTGTGCAGGGCCTCAGAGGCAGAGAGCAAAGGGAGAGCTGCTTCCTCTAAAATGAAACGTGCCCATTAGAAAAGTTAGCCTGGAAATACTTCTAGGCCATTCATAAGCGCAATATGTTGGTGGTGGTGTACCGTGACTCATAGCCACCCTGTACAGGGTTTCCAAGGCTGTAAATCTTTACGGGAGCAGAAAGCCTCATCTTTCTCCCACGGAACAACTGGTAGTTTCGAACTGCTGACCTTGAGGTTCACAGCCCAACTCATAATCACTACACTACCAGAGCTCCTGCCACTCCATTATTATTCAACCATTCTGTTGTTTTCTCTGTTGTCCTTAAGTAGCCAACATGACAGCATGGTGCAGACCACCCAGCCAACATGTGGGCATAGCCCTCACCATGGTCGAAACCCTGCCGCCTACAGCGACCCAGGGGACAAAGCCAGACACGCAGGTCCTAACTTAGATCTTTGTACAGTATGCAACACGGGGTTTGATGACTCTCTTAGATATAGCTCTGTGGTTTTTCTCTGTAGAGTGTGGGAGCTCTGTGTTCTCCAAGTCTGGGGCAGGTGCCTCCCTCCCTCCCTTGGACACTATACTGGATCCAGGCCAGCTTAACAAGGCCTCCGTGAGCTCAGCGCAAGTCTGCAAGTGGGCTGCACACTAGGGGCTTTGGAAAAGATAAGCAGATATTGGGAGAAAGAGGCTCTGAAATTCCAAATCCTGAAATAGTAAATCAGCAAAAGGAACTTAGGTCTTTTAATGTGCTTAGTTGGAGAATGGATTCCACTCAGAGCAGCCTTGGAGGAAAGGCCTGGGAATATCTTTGTCCCCCAAATTAGCTATTGAAAACCCTAGGGAGCACAGTTCTACTCTGACACACGTGGGGTCCCCCTGAGTTAAAATGGGCTCAACAGCAACTCGTTTTGTTTTGTTATTGCTGTTGTTCAGTAAAGGAAGGGAGAAGTTTCCATAGACTCGAGCTGCATACAATGCCTTGCTGTGAATTTCAGTTCAGCACCCAGCCACTGCTCACCTGCGGCTCACCCACTAACAAATTCCTAAGGGTGAGTGTGCTAGAAAGGGCAAAGCAATACTCCTTATTGAGTCATTTAAAATACAATAACTCTACTTTTCCTGATCATCAACACATTTTTTCTCAATGAAAAAAAAAAAAAAATCCCCAAAATGCAACACATACACAAAAAGAACCAAATGAAAAGTTTCCCTAATTTAGCCGCTGTTACCAGTCTTGTTGTTGTTGTTGTTAAGTGCCGTCGAGTCGGTTTCGACCCATAGCGACCCTGAATAGGGTTTCCAAGGCTGTAAATCTTTACGGGAGCAGATCGCCTCATCTTTCTCCCGCGGAGCAGCTGGTACTTTCCAACTGCCGACCTTCCGGTTCGCAGCCCGATTCGTAACCACTACGCTAAGGCACACCTTTTTGGACTTTTTCCTCATGCATACCCCCTCATGCATATACACACATAGCCACACATTTTTAATGGGAAGGCACCCTACTTCACATACCATTTTCTACCTTGCTTGTCTAATGAACACTCTCTCATGGTCCACTTTCCACACCAATTCAACACTGAGCTTACTCATCACATTGAACCACCACCAAGAATGTCACAATATGCCGTGTCTCATTTAACCAGTCACCTCTTAGCACAAAAGTTGGTTGTTTCCGATTTTTCATTGCTACAAACAATTCTGCGGCCCAAGACATCTTTTGCACAGGTCAGCTGTCAGACCTGAGGGCATCATGGGGGCTTCATGTTTCTAGCCCCTGACTCCCTTCTTGTCACCTGTTCCCAAATACTTCCTTTGTGGTGTAAATCACAATCCTGTACCTAAGCTCTGCATGTGTGGGAGAACGTGTGGGAGTCTTAGTCATCCTGGAAGCCTATGCAGGGCAACACCCAGTTCACCTTTGCCTCCCTGGAATCTTCTAGCAAAGTGCCTGGTGATTAGTCTGTGTCCCTTCTCATAAGCAAATGCATGAAAGCCTGAGTTTTGGAGGCCACCGTGGCAGAGCTGGACCAAGCACACAGGTAGCACTGGGGCAGGGAGGTGGAGGAGAGTGATACTCACGGCCAGAGAGCTGCACCAAAGGCTCCAAGAGAGAGAGGCCCCCTCAGCTCTGAGGCAGGGCTGGGCTGCTTTGCTGCTGGAAATGAGGGGCAGGCCTTCCTTCTCTGAGCAATAAGTAGGCAGCCTAGGAGGGTGGGGACTCACCTGCTTCCAACCAGCAATCACCAGAGACGATCATTTGCACATAGCAATGAAAAGCTGAGGACTGCTAGGCTAAGGGAACATTCTTGAAGATGCACATGATCTCTTAGAGATGTGTTTTCCTAGAGAGCACTGCTGCATGCAGGGAGTGAGGACATGGGCTGTCCCGCCCAGAGAAGTCTGTGCTGACAAGTGCCTGTGGACGGTGGTAACCAAACAGGCCTGAATGAGATCTCACCCCACCATCCATCCATCACAAAGTAACCCTTTTGGTCTTGGTAGAGGGTCTGAATCCTTTATACCTATGCTGCCCAATACAGGAGGTACCAATCATATGCAGCTATCTAAGCTGAAGTTCATTAAAAATGCTTTAATTATATTTTTAAATCAGTTCTTTGGTTATACCAGCTACATTTTGGTATTCCATACTGGAGTGCACAGAAATGGAATGCTTTCATTACCACAGAAAGTTGTGTATGTGATAAGTGGCTACAAACTCACAGGGTAGGTGTCCACCTGCCCTAGGAGAACCACAAACCCCTTGGAACTGGTGTCAAACATGTTAATATTTTATGTTGACCACAGTGCCACTGTGGGTTAATGCGCTGGACTGCAAAGTCAGTTTGAACCACAAGATCGGTGCTTCAAGCTCACCAGCTGCTCCTC